GGGCCGGCCGCCAGGGGGCGCAGGCCGTGACGTCGCGCGTGGACGCCTCGCTGCGCCCTCCGCCCCCGCCTCGCCGGAGCCCGTGTGTCCTCCTAGCTCTTCTCGGGCTGCCGCGTCTTCGCGGGCTCGTTTCTGACACCTCGGCCTCTTACTCTTGGAACCTGAGGCACGAACTTAGCCGTGGCTCCGAGACTCGCATGCCCCCCCTTTCAGTGCGGGCTGCACAGGGGACGTGAGTTCCGATCAGAACCGCAACGCCGAGCCCGCCGTGCTGCAGACTCTTGCCCGCCGCAGTGCGATGTCGCCCTGACCCGGCTGGGGCCCCGGGGCCTGCTGCCGGCCGAGGTCCCGCTGCTCAGTGAACGGTCTGAGTCAGTCCCCGTCCAGGTGACTTGGGCTTTGATCCCGGCTAAGTGACTTAGTCTTAAGTCCCCATTTCCAAGCCTGCCAAACCGGACCTGATTTCCCAAACGTGTTAGCTCCGTGACCGACCCCCCGCCAGGCGAGGCGCCCTCTCCAGCAGTGTGCGGTAAAGTGATGTCAGTTTCTGTGCCGACACAGGCCAGGCCGGCCGCAATGTGTAATTCCCACTGGGGAACAACCCAGACAAGCTTGTGTGCGAGGGCCTGCCAGGCTTCTGCTGTGGGCTTTTTTTTTTTAAATATAAGTTTTTGCTATAGGGTGTGTCCCCTCGCCAGAGTGAGGCAGAAAGCAAGAAGTCATCTCGGGCTGGGGGAAGGAGGGGATGGCCACACCGCAACCCCTTCTCACACAGTGTTTCAAGATGCCAGGACCAGGACTCAGACTGGTCGGTGGGTCATGTGAGTCCAGAGCCTTAACCCTGCACCACCTGCCGGCCCTCGCTATGGCATCTGCTTGGGCACCTGCTTTTGCGGCAGCCACCTACCACAGCGAGGCCAGCTGACCTGGCTACTGCCTTTTAAAATCTTGTCAGTTGTTGAGGGACCCAGATCCCACATGGCCAACATGTTGGAGCCCTGACCCTAGCAGCTTGAAAATATGCCAGGAACGTGTGTGCGTGACAGGAGACAGACGAGAGGCACTGAGGCTTGGCTTCACTGCTACGGGGGGGGGGTGCTGGCTCCCTCTCCCCCAGGGGGGGGGGTGGGGGATGTAGCAATTAAATAAAAAGCTTTCATTAGTCGGGACCAGCAGTTGGCATAATGGCTATGTCACTGGACTCCCATGTAGCTGACCCTGGTTTGAGTCCCGCACCTGGTGACTTAAACTAACACCAGGTGTGTGTGCATGCCCAAGATTCCGAGAGGAGAATGAAGAGACTGGCCATCCCCCCTGGGGCGTGGTGGTGATTTCTCACTCTCTGTCTCTTTCTGGCGAGCACACACACCCTATAGCAAAAACCTCTCAAAAAAAAAAAAAAAGCTTTCACCTCCACTGGGGGGATGGCCATATTGCAATCCCTTTTCCACCATCCTCTCTGGTCTTCGGGTACACATGCACACACAGGCACCTGGTGTGATCCTCAAGCCTCCCAGCCCAGGGCTAGAACCGCAAAGCTGGCCCTACGGGAACCAGCACCTTCCTTCCACACCTGCTAACCCAGTGGTAGAAAATTTTAACACGATGACACATCAGACAATTCCTGGTGCTTCCTGAATAGTGTAAACGGGCCGTTTCTAACTACCGGTGGTGAGTGAGTTAGAATTTAATTTTTTGGTAGATGTTTATGCCTCAGGGCACATGTGCTGGCTGGAGAGACAGTGAGAGGGAAAGTGAGACCACTCCCCTGGGGGATGGCCATGCCATAATCCCTTCTCTACTCTCCTCTTGGAGCTCAGGTACACATGCACACACCCCAAGTGAGTTTCAAGTCACCAGGTACGGGACTCGAACCGTGGTCAGCCATGTGGTAGTTCAGTAACGTAATCACTACACATTTGAGTTTATTTCCTAGGGTTGCTCTGTGGCACAGGAGCAAGATGGAGGGTGCTCATCTCTCTCTTGTGTATGTGCACAGGTATGTTCTACCATCAAAAGAGAAGAATTTACTTCTTAGACATCTGTCTAAGATGATATATGGAGTGTGCACTAGCTGGTAAGGTATCACCCCCCAGGGGGCATGGCCACGCTACAATCCCTTCTCCTTCATTCTCTTCTCAGGATTTTGGACATGCCCACACACACACCCAGCATCAGGGTTGTTTTAACTGTTTAGTTTTACCAGAGACAGAAAGTGAGAAAGCAAGCCTCCAGGTCCAGGACCCGAACTGTGGTCAGCCATGTGGGAGACCAGTGCCTTAACCACTATGCCAGCTGCTGGCCACCCGGTGTGAGTTTAAGCCACCTCAACAAGGACCCGAACTGCAGTCAACTACATGGGAGTCCAGCGACGTAGCCATTAAGCCATCTACTGGTCCCTCAAGCTGTTCCTTTTATTTGCCAGAGACAGAAACAGGAAAATGGGGGTGTGGGCATGCTGCAGCTCTGACCCCATTTCTCCATTCTGTCAGGATTTGAGGCACACACAGATAAACACCTAGCATGTTTCTCAAGCCACCAGGGATTCAAACCACGACTGGCCACGTGGGGTCCAGCTCCTTTAACTAGGCTATGGGGCTGATCCGATCTCCACTTCGGAGAATCTGTCTAAATCCCTGCTACACGGACCCAGGTCCTTGTGATGTCACCCTCACGAGCCGAGTCTTGATGAGACAATTGTTGCACTGGCGACCTGACAAACCAAGGGTGCCAGCTCCACGGGCCACCAAGGTTCAAATGCCCAGATGACAGCTGAGGGATGGGAAGAAGGGGATCATGGCATGACCAGACCTGAAGGGTGTGTCCCATGTGTACACGCTGAGTCAGAGAAAATACAGAAGGAACGAGCCAGCCACAACAGGGCGGGTACTCCTGCAAGGGTGGGCTCAGAGGGCCACCTCATGGGACAGGGCCGGCGATGCCACACCAAGCCTCTGCTGGTGGGCGTTCCTTCCTTCCCTGACGCAGGCCTGCAGTTCCAGCTGCTGCTAGTGCCAGAGCCTAGCCAGCTCTGGGAACTCCCTCCACACCCCAAGGCACACCTGATGTTTCAGGTCCCCAGGTTGGTTCTCCGGCTGAGCTTCCTGAGCGGTCTGAGGTCCACACAGGGCATCTGGGGGCCTCACGCCGAGGGTGGGTCCTGGTGACACTTCCCCTACCAGGCTCAGGTCTGACCAACTCGAGGGCTTGGCACTGGGTCCTGGAGGCAGGCAGTGCCCCTGTTCTTCAGGACCAGATGTTAGGCCAAGTTAGCTTAATCACCGCCATGTTAGGGAATGCTGGGCCGAGTTAGCTTAATTGCTACCATTAAGTCTTCAAGGACGGAAACCAGGAGACTGGGGACTCTCAGATAAGTGGAAAACGGGAGGGCCCAGCACCTCCGAGGCAAGGTCATCCAGACCCTTAGCTGAGCGCCCTTACCTAGACATGAGCAGGTGGTGACAGCTGGACCCTCGCTTCTCATACCCACCCCCTTGTGTGTGTGACATTCTATGGAAAATCCTGAACTATAAAAGATCCCTTTATCTTAGGCTCGGGGTCCTTGTGAAGACCCGCTGTTGACGGGCAGAAACTTGGACCCCAGCTAGCTGGAAAATAAAAGCCTCCTTTGCAGTTGCATTGTCGTCCATTGTCTTTTCTGTGTCTCCATCAAGTTAGACCGATCTCTGGACCCTTACAGCACTGGGTCCTGGAGGCACGCAGCGCCCCTGTTCTTCAGGACCAGGACCAGGGTGTGCAGGGAAAGGGGTCCAGGCACCTGACTGGCAGAAACCTGAACAGCTCCGGCATGCTCGTTCCCCACCCGCTCCACTCTGAGTTTTTGAAGATTCATTTGGGCGTCCTCTGGCGAAACGCAAACTAGGAAAGAAAGAGGCAGACCCTTCACCCCGAAAGGCTGGGAGGTGAGGAGCACAGAAGGGCCTCGTTTGGAGGCCGGGCTTGGATGAAAGGGCACAGGCAGGTAGCAGGCAGACTCAGAGCTCACAGTTCCGAGGTTTACTTAGAGGGCAACACGCAGCCCTGCCGTGCGGTCACACGGCACCCGCCAACATCACAGTGTTGAGTACAGCTTTCACTCTGATACAGCTCTAGGAAGCTGTTGGCACCCAATGTACGTGAAAGTTTAAGGCTTAATAAAACACACACTAGCCGTTCCTCAGTGTAGCTTGGGGGCTGAGGGCAAGTTCCCAACCTTCCTGCAGCCGTAGCCTCCAAGGTGAAGACCGTCCTCTGGGTACAAATGACTATCACGCCACCAGGCTCCACGTGACCCCAGGGGACCCAGCCCTCACCCTCTGGAGGAGAAAGGAAGGCAGAAAAGGTGGGGTGGGCCCGGCAGGGAGTCCTGTCACTGCTGCCCCCCGGGGACTCCCTTCCCGAGAGCAGTGGCAGGTGGGAGGGCCCAGGGCAATATAGCAATGGCAGATTTCCTCTTGGCAATCCCCGTTTGGAATTCACGGTTTTTTTTTTTTTCCTTTTTTTTTTCATTTAAAAAAAGCCGTGGGTTCATTCCTACCCCTGGCCTATTTCCTTGTGAGTTAAATGAGCTAGTGTGTGTGGACTGAGAGCCAGCCACCGTTTGAGACTCTGAACCACAGGCCACATGAAGTACTAATGGTCACAGGGGCAGTGCTTCTGGCTCCAAAGGCTGCAGGGCCACCGGAGGGCAGTCTTTGGTCGACAGAGCCACGCAAGCGCAGGCAGTGGGTACCCCAGGCTGGGCCCCGGTGGTGCAGGGTTCTAGCGCCAAGCTCCTGCCTGGCAGGCAGCTGGTACAACGGCCAGGCTGCCCGCTCCCTGTGGGCCGACACCCCGAGGCAAGTGTGGGCACTGAGGGCACAGCCTTGGGGTGGTGTGGGGAACTCCGCCGGCCCGTCCTCGGTTTGTGGGCACAGAGCATGGGGCTGGAAAGGTCTTGCTGCTGGACCCTTAACCAGGGGCCCCAGTTCCTGCAAGGCTCTTAACAGTGCCCGGGCAGTCCCTCTCAGGTGGACCAAACAATTGATATTTTTCTAGAAAAAAGTGTCAGGAACAGACCAGCGTCAACAACCGTTTATGTGAAGCTGGCATTTGAAAGGAGCGTTTTAGTTATTAAGGAAGCCAAGCACAGCACTCTGGGGCACCCCCTCTCGCCAACCTGCCACGGAATGAAGGCACAGGAAGAGCCCGGATGAACCGGGACCCCGCAGAGGCCAGCCGGCCCGTCAGAGGAAACAGCTGGGAGGGGCTGTCCACCTCACGCGTCATGGAGAAGGGCGAGACGCGAGGCTGAGAGAGGCCACGCCAGGCGGGGGGAGTCCCGGCTGGTTTCAGATGGCAGAAGCCGGCACCTCTGAGGGTCAGAATAAGAAAACCTGCCAGGGAGTGGAAGACTGAGGACATTTTGGTTTCTGTTGTGAGCTGCCCAGACAAAGCAATCTAAGTCCCAAGAGAAGGTAGCAGAGCGCACCATACCGGGGACAGGAGGCTGGCGCTGAGGCTGAGCAGAGGGCCCAGGCACGCGGACTGTCCCGGGGAAGGATCTGAAGAGCGTGTTTTATGCAGACACCCTGTGTTTCTGCTTATGCCCCAGGCCTCTGTCCAAGGCCAGGAACAGACCGATGCAGCGTCTCGGCCACCCCAGAAGTGCCATGGCGGTAGACCCTGCTCTGCCCTCCCCCACGTCCCTGGCCCACCTTAAAGGTCCTCTCACAGCTGGACAAGTGAGCAAGCACCAGGGGGCTCTCCCTGCACCCCCAGTCTTGGCATCTGGAAGGCACGGTTTGCTGTGCAGCATCACGACAGCCAGAGCTCTGGGCAGCCGGCTCACACGTGCCCTCTGCCCCAGTCCTCCAGGCTAAGAGAAACGGTAACTTTCGGGGTCTCGCCTCGGGTCTTGTCCCACCAGGAGCAGCGGCTTCCTTTAGTAGAAGGAGATGCTGGATTTCCCTCCAGGGGGGTTCAGCACTTTGTTGTGAGAGCGAGGCCGCGGCCCCAGCCGGGGCTCATGGCTGTCGACTGTGGGCGCAGGCTCTGGCTCCTCGGGGTGGCCCAGCTCTCCCGGGCAGCCTTTCTCCCCAGGCGGGATGCTCACGGCAGCTGTGGGGAGAGCCGGCACATGGCATTAGAGGCCCATGGACTCACCACGTGTCTCAGGGCAGCCTGCAGGAACGTCCCACCCAGACCAGTGAAGAGGTCAGGCCGAGCTTGACACCTGGTGCCAGGACCACGCATGTCACCTGAAGATGCGGTTCTGGGGCCAGCGCTAATTACTCGCTCACACTGCCTGCCAGACTCCAGCCCGCTCCCCCATCCCAGAGCGTGCACGAAAGAGGAGGGGCAGGGCTAAAGGGTGTGTGCGGTCCTCGCCAGGCAAGCCATCCGGGAACCTGAAGGCCTGGGCCGACACTGAGAACCAGAGGTTCGGACCTGCCTCCCTGACCCCGAGCTGCCCTGAGTGGTCGGCCGCGGAGGCCCTGCCCGCCTCCCGCAGTGCTGGCCATGGTCACGAGTCCACTGGACGTCTAGCCTCTGCCCTTCACCACAGACCAGCTCTGGGAGGCAGCTAGGCCTCAGGCCTAGGGCAGTTCGCGGTAACAGGAAGGGGAGAAAAATTGAATGTGTTTTTACTGAGATTTTTGCTATAGGGTATAGGCTCTTGCCAGAGTCAGGAAGTCATCCCCCAGAGGGACGGTCACACCCTTTTCCTCCATTCTCTTCTTAGGATCTTGGGCATGCACGAACATATGTCCAGTGTTGAATTTTAGGTTGCCGGGTCCGGGACCCAAACCACAGTTGGTCACGTGGGAGTCCAGTGACATAATCATTACCCCATCCCCGGTCTCGAAAAGTCCAATTTTTTTTTTTTTTACCCAAAATGACAAAAGCTCACTTCCCCACCCTCTTCAGCTTAGCTGAGCCCACCGGCCTGCAGGTACACATAGGCCTCCTTCTCCCTCGGGCACGCGGGCAACTCTCACAGGGAGCGGAGAACAGAGCTCACCTTTCAGGTCCGATTGTGGGTCTTCTCCTTCACACAAGAAGACGTGATCCTATAAGGCAAACCACAGGCGAGGTCAGTACTTGACTAGAACTTTCTTACCTCCACTCAAACGGACAATGACAGCCAGGGCACGAATGACCTGAGATGAACTTTAACCATAAACAAAGGGAACAGAGTACTTCAGCGAGGCCTCAGGTAACCGACCGTGTGACTGCTCGGAAGCAGACTGTGGCTCTCATGTCTAAACCATTTCCAGATGTGGCTATTAAAAACGTCCCTCGACGGGCCGGCAGGCGGCACTGTGGTCGTGGCACTGGACCCCAACATGGCCGACCACGAGTCCCAGACCCGGTGGCCTGAAACTCACGCTGGGCGCATGTGTGTACATGCCCAAGATCTCAGGACGAGAGCAGAGAAGGGACTGCGGTCTGGCCACCAGGATGACCCGTGGCTTCCCTCCTCTCTCTGGGGAGTGCACGAACCCTATGGCAAAGATTTAAAAATTAAAAAAAAAAAAATAAATAAAAAAGGTGGCATGTTGGTTAAGGTGCTGCACTCCCCCACGGCTGACCACAAACACTTCTAGTCCCGGACCTGGTGGCTTGCTTTCTCACTTTCCCTTTCTCTCTCTGGCCAAATTAATAATAATATCAACAAATAAAATTAAATAATTATTTTTTTTGGGGGGGAGACGCTTTTGCTATAGGGCATGTGTGCTTACCATAAACACAGAGAGACAGAGAAACAGAAAACAAGAAATCACCCCCGGGGTGAGGGATGGCCACGCTGCAATTCCTTCTCCTCCATTCTCCTAAAGGGATCTTGGGCACACACACAAGCCCGGCCTGAGTTTAAGCCGCTGGGTCCAGGACTCGAACTGCGGTCGACTACATGGGAGTCCAGCTGCTGAGCCCCAAATTATTCTAAAAAAAAAAAAAAAAGTCCTTCAAGAGGCCATCAACTGGCACAGTGGACTCCCACACAGTCCACCATGAGTCCTGGACCCAGGAGCTTGAAAATCACACTGAGACTCCTGTGCGTGCACGCTCCAAATGCTGAGGGGTTGGAGGAGGCTGCAGTGTGGCTGTCTCCAGGGAGACCATTTATCCCCTTCTGCCTCTCTCTAGCGAGCGAATGTGCAGCCCTATAGCAAAAACCTTAATTTAAAAAAAGAAAAAGAGAGTCCTTTAATGGCTAGCCAGTGGACTCGTGGTTAAGGTGGCTGCATTTCACATGACTGACTAGACGGTTCAAGACCCAGACCCAGCGACTTGAAAAATACGACAGCAGGGCCGGCAGGTGGCGTGGTGGTTGGAAAGGCTGGACTCCACGTGGCCGACTGCGGTCTCAGTCCCAGACCTGGCAACTGGCTTTCTCACTTTCCTCTCTCTGTCTCTGGTCAACTTCAAAAAAAAATAAAAGACAATATTAAATAAAATTATTCTTTAAAAAAAAAAAAAAAAACAAGAAGAAGAAGAAGAATACGACAGGTGCATGCTGTGCGCTTGCTCACCATCTTGACCGAGAATGGGGGAGGGGCTGTGGCACGGCCATCCTCTGTGGGGGTTGGCACTTCTCACTTTTTCTCTCTGAGAAGCACACATTCCCTCTAGCAAAATTACCTTTAAACTCCTTTAAGAAAAAACAGTGAAGGGGACCAGTGGTTGGCATAATGGCTATTTCACTGGACTCCCATGTAGTCAACTACGGTTCGAGTCCCAGACCCAGTGGCTTGAACTCATGCCAGGCATGTGTGCGTGCGGGCCCCGGATCCCCGGAGAAAGGGACTGCAGTGTGGCCATCCCCTGGGGTGGGGGGTGACACTTTCTGTTTCTCTCTGGCAAGCGCATGCACCTTAGAACCAAAACCTCTCCAAAAAAAAAAAAAAAAAGAAAGAAAAGAAAAGAAACTATTAAGAAAAGTTAACTGTTAAGTCTCAACCCTACAAAAATCAACAATTCCTTGCATAGCAAATTCTGAGTACAATTGTAGAAGTTAGCACGGTGTTGGCAGAAGTTTCAGAACTCCCTCTCGGGCAGTGCAGTCCTGTGGTCCAGACACACCGTGTCTAGCTCACCACCCGCCTGTGGGTGGGCACTCGCACTGCTGAGTCTTCGGCTGTCTTTATCTACTTGAAGCCTTGTTTACAGGTCCCCTCGGTGTGTAGAGTGGAATCACACGGGATGGCCACAGCCCTGCACCGCTAGCATTCCCACCGGCAATCTGTAAGGGCCCCAGCCCGCCCACAGCCTTGCCGACGCCTGTAGTTTCCGCTTTTGTACGCAGCCATCTTGGTAGGTAAGGAGTGTCTCACTTGCACATCCCTGACGACGGGGGAGTCGTCCATCTTCTCATGTGCTCGCTGCTCACTTGTACCTTCGGAGAAATGTCTATTCGAAGTCCACTGCCCATTTTTTCACTGGGTTGTCTTTTGGTTGTTGCGTTGAAGGAGTTCTTTATGTATGCTGGATAAGATATTTGCAAGTGTGTACTCTCGTGCGGGGGGTTGTTGTCACTCGACAGTGTCCTGTGAGTTTATTTATTTGTTCCATGACCAAGAGACAGAGATGAGCGTGCACCTGCACGAGGACAGCTGGCCGTGGCACCTCCATGAGGGCGCACCGGGGCATCTGCAGACCACTGAGCCGGCCTCGCCACCATCTGGCCTCCACAGGCGCTTTAATTCCAACAAAGTCCAATTTATTTTGCATTATTTTGGTGCTGTACTTGAGAAAAAACTCTAAGAGTTTTCAAGTATTTCGGGGCCAGCAGATGGTGTAGCAGTTACTCCCACATGCCCAACCAAGGTTCAAGTCCCAGACCCGGTGGCTTAAAACTCAACTGAGTGTGTGTGCATATGTGCTTAAGATCTCAGGAGGAGAATGGAGGCAAGACTGCGACACGGCTACCCCTTGGGGCGTGACTGCTCACTTTTCCTCTCACTATCTCTGTCTCCCTAAGGCAAAAAACCTCTTTAAAAAAGTTTTCCAGGACCAGAAGTTGGCACAATGGCTATGTTGCTGGACTCCCACGTAGTTGACCGTGGTTCGCATCCCGGACCCGGTGGCTTAAACTCACGCTGGGCACGTGTGCATGCGTGCCCAAGATCCCGAGAGGAGAACGCAGAAGGGACTGCGGTGTGGCCATCCCCCCAGGGGGTGATTTCTCACTTCCTGTCCCTCGTCTGAATTTCTGGCAAGCATGTGCACCCTATAGCAAAAACCTCTCCAAAACAACAACAAAGTTTTCCAACCTTCGAGGTTCGGCTCGTAACGAAGCCTCCGGAGACACTGTCCTGCTTTCTCTAATTCCTGTGCCACGGTCTAGTGCCCATTGGGAGAGTCGTGCCTGGCTCCCGTGAGACTAAGCAGAGAAGAGACATCCCCACACAGATGCCCGGACAGGATGGGTGTGAGGAAGTCCACACCATGTGGCCTTGGTCAGTGCTGTTATTCATTTTCTCCTCGTCCCATTTCTTTGTAAATTTCCATCTCGACTCTGCAGTGTGGCTTCTGGGATTTGACCCAACAAAAGTATGGCAATTTTCCAGGCATAAGCAACTCTAGAGATGATTAAGAAGTGCTTTTGGGAACTAGATCATATCTCTGCTCACAGAAGAGGTGGAAAAGTGAACGAGAGGCTGAAACTGGCTAGCGACAGTGAGAACAGTGAAGCCTCGGCCCAGAGGTGCTCTGCCCTTGCAGCATGCGGGTGCTGGGGCAGGGCCCGAGACAGGTGGCCCGACCGCCTCACTAGAGCCTCCACCCCAACCCGGCGAGCTCACAGGCCCTTAGCACCTTCCAGGGACTGGCCAGCGTCAGGCCGCACTTTCCTGTCGGCACCAGGAGCGGAGACCACGCTCATTTGCGGCACGGGTGCTGCTGCGAGCCCAGAGGCAGCTTCGCTGCGGCGAGGCCCCACAGACCTGTGCACAGAAAGCCTGAGAACCTCGACCTGTGTGGACAGGGTGCCCAAGAGCCATCGCTCTTCCTCACCAAACCCGACAGTCTGACAGGCCGGGGCCCGTCACATGCTCACGCTCGCCGTCGGCGCCCCACGGTGGAGCAGGACGTGTGAGGCGGGCAGAGCCCAGGGCTTTGGGCCCCAGCTTCCAAACCCAACGACAAACAACCGCACCGGGAAACCCACACCACCCTGCCTCTGCCTCCGAACACAACACGCCTGCCTTCGGGCTGCTCCGGGAGACACTCGGCTTGCTTTCTGAGCACGGTCCATACCTTGGGTTTGTTTGGGTGTGCCAAGGGCGAAGTGGCAGCAACTGGGGACCCAAAAATGCCACTGGTCTTCCCACCAGGCGGGTTTAGACGTGGTCGAGTCTGCACAGGAGTCGATTCATCAAAGATGCCACTTCCTTTCCCCCCTGCAGAAGCAAGCACAAAGCTCTGAGTACCCAAATGTCTGCCTTGGCCTGCCCCATGCCTGGGGCGTCGGGCCCACAGCCACAGCCCAGTGCAGAGCCGAGTCCAAGGCTGGGAGAGCGGAAGGCGGGACTCCAGGCCCCTGGTCCCCACGCCACGCCGCGCACGTTCCCTGGGCCTGCTGCCGCTGGAGGCGAGGGCGTAAGAGCAGCACACCTGCCCACAATCCCAAGAGGAGGCTGGGGAAGGGACTGTGATGTGGCCACTCCCCCAGGGGCGGTCTCTCACTTTGTGTCTCTGGTGAGTGCACGCACCCTAAGCAAAAATCTCTGAAAAAACTAACGTGCCCTACTCCAGGCAAACCTGTAATCTTGACATCTATCACCCCGTCTCTGACCTCATCTGGCTAAAACTACCAGCGAGAACTGGTACATCAGCAAATCAGAGGCGCGAGACCCCTCTGCCGGCTGGCCCTGGCCCACCTCAATGGAAACGGCGTCTAAGAAGTCGCTCCCAGTCGGCCGAGGACTAAGGCCTACCGTGCGCCTTCGACGCCTCGGAGCTCACAGCAGCAGAGGCGCTGCCAGAGGGCACCGGCTGACCACCGCTGCCTGGCAGACCCCGCGGCTGCATGGCGCACCAGGCGCCCGTGAGCTGAAGGAGCAAAGAGCGTGGCCGTCCCTTCCGTGCTCATCGACAGAGCGGCGACAACGCCAGGACCTCGCTCACACGCAAGTGCTTAGCACATGCCCAGGACACAGATGAGCGAGGCCCGCCATGTGTTCTGTGTCAGGAAAAGGAAATCTCTCCTAGGTCTTCTGCTCAGTGAGAACAGTTGCAGGGCCAGCCCCCAGCACAGTGGGTAGAGTAGGGAGCTAGGTCCCAATCGGACTTGGCAGCTTGAAAAACGGCAGGTTTGTGTACCCCAGATCCTGAGGTGTCAGAGAAGAGAAACTGCAAGGTGACCACGCCCCATTTTAGAGGGCGTTCTCCTACCCTCCTGGGTGAACAAATGCGCCACCTGGTAATTAACAAAGAAGAGAATAGGAGACACTAATCACTCCGCAGCCCACCCAGAAAGTGGTACCTATGGGCCAGAAGTGGGGTGGGCAGGGCAGTGTCAGGGCTGCTAAATGCTTCCTTTTCCAGTGCTTTGCTCCTCTGCATTTTGCTGTTAAAAAGTCATACCCTCTGGGGCCAGTGGTTAGTGTAATGGCTATGTCGCTGGACTCCCACGTAGTCGACCGCGGTTCGAGTCCCAGACCCGGTGGCTTAAAACTCACGCAGGGCGCGTGTGCGTGCGTGCCCAAGATCCTGAGAGAAGAATGGAGGAGAGGGGACTGCGGCATGGCCATCCGCCCTGGGGGGTGATTTCTCACTTTCTGTCTCTATGTCTCTCTCTGTCTGTTTGGCGAGCGCATGCGCCCTATAGCAAAAACCTCTTCAAAAAAAAAAAAAAAAAATCACACCCTCGTTGGTCACTCAGCTGCCAACCTTGGCAATGATACCACAGAAGGACGTGAACAGCACACGGACGGCCTGCAGGGGAGCATTCGGGGAGGAGCCCTCAGAACCAAGTGGGGGCCCGGTGCTGGGCAGGGCTTCTGGAAACCTGCCAACGTGGGGCGCGGAGCCTGCCGTGCTGCGGACTCGGTACAAGGCAGAGTCTATGCCCTCTGAGTGACCACACGGAGGGCAGGTGGGACCCTCTGCAGGGAAACACACACCAGCACACTTCGCAGCTCCGGGCATACCTCGCCACGCTCTCCCAGGGATCCAGTCCCCGCCAGAACCCAGAAGGGCGTGGCGGCGAGGACAGGCGCTCTGTCCCGGCCTACCCCGTTCCAGTGCCTGGCCCTGAAGTTACTTGCACCCCGCTGTCTCCAACGTCTCACCTCACAGATGGCAAGTAACAGCATGGACGCAGGCTGCGGGCGAGGCGGGGCGGGGCGTTGGGAGCAGCCACCGGGCAGCAGCTGCCCAAGGCCACTCCACTGCGCTCTCCTGGTCAGGACCAGGCTCACGGCACGCTCTTCAAGCATTTCAAAAAATGGGAGAGAGGCACCAGCAGATGACGCAAGGTTGAGGTGGACTCTCACATGGCTAACAGTTCAAGTCATGGACCAAGAAGCTTTAAACTCACGCCGGGCGTGTGTGTGCGCGTGCCCATGCCCGTCCCCCGGGGGGTGACTTCTCACTGTCTGTCTCTCTGGCGAGCACATGTGTCCTATAGCAAAAATCTCTCTCCAAAAATAAAAAAAGGAAGATAAAAGCAACTCGACTTCATGTCTTGGCCTACTACTGCTTCAGTGTTTCTGACTTGACAAAGAACAGAGTGCCCCTAGTACAGGGTAAACAGCAGTGGCCCGCCCAGGTTAGGTCACGCAGAACAAGCCAGCCCCTAGAGACTTCACCTTCTCTCCCTCTCACCCGGGGCTCCACTCCTGAACCTTCTGGAAACCACCAGCTTGTTATTTTATAAATAGTTTACCAGGTATAGGCGCAACCCTAAACCAGAATTCTGGATTTTGCTTTTAGTTTTGCTATAGGGTTCATGAGCTCACCAGAGGGAGAGGAGCGGGAGACAGAGGGGGGGGGAGACAGAAATCACCCCTCACGGGGATGGCCACGCTGCGATCCCCTCTCTTCCCTTCTCCTTTCGGGACTTTGGACACACACATGGCCAATGATTCTCAAGCCACTGGGTCTGGGACTCCAACCGCATAGCGGGCCGAGAGATCTGGCCACCTTAGCCACGCCACCTACTGGCCTACAGCATTCTAGCCTCGAACTAAGTAACCGCCCCGTGTCTGTTACTCAGCCTTTTCCTGGTAAGTTCAGCTTCCAGGCAACATGACGCTTAGCCCACTCACTAAAGGAAACTAAAGGTCGTTACGGTACTGGACATTCCCATGTTTATCTTGTTAAAAATAAATGAACGAATAATAAAATTAAAAATTTTTCAAAAAGAGAAAAACAAACTCAAGGTACACTTCTAGAAACTAAATTACGGAAGATCAACGCCGCATCAGCAGCATAAGCACACACACTGCGGGCGACGTGGCCTCCCCGTGGCACGACCCAGCCACATCTCACATCCACCCCCTACCTTCCAGCAAGCCCAGTGCGAGGAACTGACTCCAGACGCCACGGCTAGTTCTGCCACCACCAACCATGGGCCCAGGCATGCGGGTCAGCGTCTGGGAGCGGCTCTTTTTTGGAGATTTTTTTTTTGCTATAGGGCGCGTGCGCTCGCCAGACATACAGAGAGAGACAGAGAGACAGAAAGCGAGAAACCACCCCCCAGGAGGCCGGACACCGCAATCCCTTCTCCTCCATTCTCCTCTCGGGATCTTGGGCACGCACGCACATGCACCCAGCGTGAGTTTAAGCCACCGGGTCCAGGATGCGAACCGCGGTCAACTACGTGGGAGTCCAGCCACATAGCCATTACACGGCTCCTCTTCTGCAGAAGAGCTGGCACACCTGCCTCCAGGGCTCTAGCCAGGACCACCTGAAGTACCTGACCATCAATCGGCCCTGTCAGGAGAGGGAGAAGCACGCGTGGAAGACCTAAACCAGGTGAGTGCACACGGCCGCTGACAGAGGCCAGATGAGGCGGGCAGGCATCCTTGGCCACTCAACAGCCCTCCCCGGGAGCCGCCGCACTGTCTCTACGCACGCCCCTCAAGCAGGCCTCTCACTGGGGGCTGCGGGCACAGGCTGGTGACGGGAACAGAAACGGGGTGGGCTCCAGGGCTGGGGGGAACAAGCAGCAGTTTCCTCGTTCAGGCTGCTCTTGATAACAGCACGGACTCCTCTGGAAGACCCCCTCGGAGGGGTGGACAAACTCCAAACCACCCTGGCGAGGAAAGGGAGCCACAGCGGAGCAGCCTCCCTCGGGATCTCACACGGCAGAGGCTGGCTAGCTCTCCGCCAGGGGGCTCGGGCTCCCCCAGGACCCTCTGGGGCAGCTGTGACACCTGCCAACGACGCAGATTGGTGTCCCTTGTGCAACATGCCGCTGGCCACTGTTTACATGGGGTTCTCAGGAGTCCTGGAAACTATGTCAACACTTCCAGACAGCCTGATACAGAGGATGCGCAGGGCTGGCCACAGGGCACATGCGCTGGCCAGAGAGACAGAGAAAGGGGAAGTGAGAAGTCAGCCCCAATCCCTCCTCCTCTGCTCTCCTCTCGGGTTCTGGGCACGCACAGGCACTTGCCCAGCCCGGGTCCTGGTCTCACCCAGCAGACCACCTCCTGGCCCTGTAATTCTGGTTTCCGGTCTTTGGCTGTGTGGTGTGTGTGTGCTAGAGAAAGGGAAGGGAAGGAAGCGCCCCTGGAGGGACAGCCACGCAGCACCCCCTGCCCCCCCATTCTCCTTTCAGGATCTCGGACATGCACACGTCCGGTGTTTTCAAGTTACTGGATCAAGGATCTGAATCAGCCGGCCCTGTGCGATCCAGTGCCTCAGCCACCATGCCACCCGCTGGCCTGGCCGCGCATGTGCGTGTGTTGAGGTTTTTTGCTGTAGTGCATGTGGACTTGCCAGAGAGATGGAGAGACAGAGACAAAAGGCAATAAATCACCTCCCAGAGGGGATGGCCACACCCCAATTCCTTCTCCTCCATTCCTTTCTTGGGATTTTGGGCACACATGCATAGAAACCCAGTGCGAGTCTTAAGCCACTGGTTCTGGCACTCAAACCACCGACGGCCGTGTGGGAATTCAGTGCCTTAACTACTACGGGACCTATTGGCCCATGACGCTGTTCACCAGAACGAGGAGGAACCCTGTGCAGGCCAGCCCGCAGTGTAGCAGGTTAAGTGGTGTGCACAGAACGGCTCTGGTGGTGGCTGAAACACGCCAGGAGCGTGTGTATGTGGGCTCCAAATTCTGACAGGGCCGAGAAACAGAAAATGAACAGTGTGACCACAGCCCACTGCGGGTACTTGGGTGAGTGCGTGCACCCACACGTTTTCCCACTGTAAGCATATTCATAAACAGCCTCGCCCTCAAACAGCCAGACGAAAGACAGGTTTTTTTTGAGTTCTTGCTATAGGGCACGTGTGCTTGCCAGAGAGAGACAGAGAGGAATCACCCTGAGGGGACGGCCATGCCACAATCCTTTCTCCATTCTCCTCTCAGGCTGTTGGGCACACATGCACACCTGGTGTGGTTTTTGAACCATGCCGTTGGCCATGAGGGATCCAGTGCCCTGAGCTCGTTTTGAAATCTATTGCTCTCGTGCTCCTCAGCATGTGGCCACGCAGCACCTGTGCCCACAGTTCTGGCCCCAGCCCTGCTCGACCTGCTCTAATGGACTCACCAGCTCCTCTGCGGGGCCTCGACTGGGTTACATGCACAAAGTGGGGGGCTGCAGAGGGCCTTCATGCTGTGGCCCACCCCCAGCCAGCTGGGGTCACGGGCACCGCATGCGCTCAGCATGTACAAGGGACCTGGGAGCGTGAGCCTGGGCCTTCCACGGGCCCCGCAGCGCAGAGCGTGTGCTGCCGCCGTGCCACCACGGCTGCCCCACTTCCTCGGAGTGGAGAGCCCTGACTCTCATCACGCACCAGCGGGGGAAGTGCCCCGGGTCGCTGTTGCTTGTGGTTATTCAACTGGACAGTCTATCAGTCAAGGTCAGCCTTTTCAAAGGCGCGTCCAACCGTAACCAACAGAAGCCCCGTACACACAGCTGAGTCGGCTCTGCCTTCCAATCCCAGGCTCATGCCCAATCTGGTCAACAGTGCTCTCCCCTAAGACAGACGTTAGCTGCAGAGTGGTTGCATGCAAATACCCCCAGAACCCCACCACCCCCTTGTGTACCCTCGGCTCTTGCATTCAGTCAGTGTCTACTGAGTAAACGGAGAAGCCAAGAAGGCTCATGTCACTTTTAAGAGGAAGGAAAAGCCAAAAGACCTTTCTTTCACTTTTTAAAAAACTGACCAAGGATAGCCAGAAAATACTTGCAAGGATTAAAACAAACTCAAAAGAACATACAGAAGACGAAGTAGAGGCCAAAGGACTAAGGGTTCACAAAGGCCCGGACCTGGGGGGTTTGTCCTCCTGGGTATATTCTGAGCTCCTTCTGCTGGTCCAAAAATGTCAGACGCCATCCTATTAGGCCTGCTTGAAGGGACAGCTTCTTCTGGGCTTCCAAAAAGATCACAGGACTCCCCTCCTGGGGGCTTCACGGCCCTGCAAGCAGAGTGAATGCAAGTTACTGGCAGCTGACGAGGAGGCCTGTCGCTGAGGGGCCCGAGCGGAACTCGACAGGGCAGAAGCACCTCGTCCCCGCCTGCCTGGAGAAGCACTGCCGCTGAGTGGTTCAGACGGCCATGCCAGACCCCGCGACGCTCCCGAGCCTCCCTTGCAAGCTTAGACCCAGTCTTTAAAAACATGTCCACTTTGGGGTCAGCCCCATGGCCTGGGGGTTGCAGACGTCAGATCCCACCCAGTTCGAGTCCCCAGCCCTGGCAGCTTGAACACGCCAGGCACATGTGCATGCACGCTCCGAATCTCAACAGGATGGACGGACGGAGGACAGAGAACTACAGCCACGCGCCGTCGGGGTGCTTGCTCCGCACCCCGATTCTCTCTGGTAAGAACCCTCCGGCTAAAAAAAGCGAACGAATATTGGGTATTTTGAAATTATCCCTATGACCGCAAAGAAGTTCCCCTAACAAAGGCAAACTGAGCCACTTTCAGTTTAATGCTAATTTTAAATTTTGTTTCATCAGGGGCTAGCAGGTGGCATGGCTGTCAGGGCACTGGACTCCCGCATGACTGATTGCGGTCTGAATCCCAGACATGGTGGCTTGAGAATTATGCCAGGTGCGCGTATGGGTGTCCAGCACCCTCAGAGAGCGGAGGAGGGACTGCGGTGCAGCCACCTGCCTGGGGTGATCTCTCACGTCCTGTCTCTCCAGTGAGCACACAACCTAGGGCAAAACCCTGAAAAGGAAGTACATATATTAAAATCAAACCCCACACGCGGCTCCCATTCCCACTGCACTGGGTGGGCCCTGACTAGGAAGTGCCGCCGGTACTAGCCCCGTGGAGGCCCACACTGGGGCAACTCTCTGGTCCCTGAGTCTGCTGCCGTGGGATGCTGTGACCTCGTGTGGGGGCTTCACAGCGGTCTACCCATCTCCTGGCCTGCAACACAGGCATGGGTACCAGCAGGTGCGGGGAGGTCCCAGGACGCAGACCTCCGGCTCTCCCACGTGGGTCCAACTGCACTTCCAACGCACAACCTGGCAACAAGAGCTAAGCTGACCAAGCAGCGACCCTCCTGCCTCACCCAGATGGCTGGGGCATGGTGCACGCCGGTGCCTGGTCTGCTCAGGTTAGCTGGGGACCAGCCCTGGGTCTCCCTCCCACTTGCATCACTGTGGTTGGGCCCGGGAAGTTTCAAATCGCGTTTCAGAGAAGGGACTACCGCTACGAGTTTGTTGCCAGAGGGTGTGCACGCATGAGGGAGTGGGGAGGGGAAGGGGACTCTCCCAATGGGGCCAGTCATGCCACTGTCCTCTCCGTTTCTGCACCCTGTCGCGATGTTTGACGTGTGCGCCCAGGGTGTTGCGGGTGGATCTGAAAGGCTCCTGTGAACCACGTTTACCTGTGCTTTATCAGACAGATGCCGCCACATATTCTTGCCCCGACCTCCCAAACGGGCGGTACCCAGGGGTACCCCACCGCACCCAGCTTTTAGGGTGGGTCGGGTCAAGCCTGGACCTCCCGTGCGGTCTCAGCCTGCCGAACAGTGGCGTCCTAGAACAGTTTTCCAGGGCTGGCCGACCCGTGTGTTCTTCTGCTAGTACGTATGCCCTCGCGCATTCTGAAACAGCTAATAGCCTGGAGTAGCCGACCACAGAAAAGCCCCCCGGGGCCGTGACCACACACCCCGCTATGCAGTGGAAGCGTCTGGAGTTTGGGGCCAGCCTAGGTAACAGGCCGGTCACAATGAAAACCAAACCAAACAAAATGGAGATGTGAGAGCAGGCCTCGCTGGGAGTTAGTTAAAACAACGCAACGCCGGAGAGGGAGCTGTTCGTGCAGGGTGGCCCAGCATGGACGGGCCTCTGACTGTCCTCTGCGAAGCAGCAAGGCAGAAGGCCACGAGCTTGTCACAGAGGGTGGACATCGTGCCAGTCACGGCCTGAGCAGACCAGGGGCCGCCACCCGCCACCAGTGAAGCCCAGAACTGTCTCCACAGAGGGCGGACAGCCCGAGAGGAGACCCACAGGCCCGCCACCACCACCAGCAAATGCGTGCAGTGGCTCGCCTCACGCTCAGGGGGGCGTTCAGCACTTGGCACTTCCTGGGAGATTCCACCAAGGAAAAAAGGTCGGCTTGAGAAAAAGCTTTTTTCTTTTTTACAACAAATACCCAACCCAGGTTTAAATTAGAAAGGGCTTAATAAGACCTCAGGCCAGGGACAAGCATATGGCATAATGGTTACATTGCTGGACTCCCACACAGTCTACTATGGTTCGAGTCCTGGACTGGGTGGCTTAAAACTCACACACGTGCGTGCTTGCGTGTCCAAGATCTCAAGAGGAGAATGGAGAAGGGACTGCAGCATAGCCATCCCCTGGGGGGTGATTTCTATGGTAAGCACTTGTGCCCCACAGCAAAAATCCCTTAAACAAACAAAAATCCAAAACCAAAACCCCAACCCCTCAGGCCAGAGCAAAGCCAGCTGACTTCCAAGCTCATGGACAAATCACAGCCTGGGCCACCCGATTTTCCTGGGCTCTGTACAAGGGGTCTAATTGTTTACCCCTCCACCATCATCTCTTTAAAACAATGAGATGCAAATCTTAATCTTTAAAAATGAACTGAATTTAATTTAGCAAGTCTCATGCCAGTATGAGTTCAAATTCCTATTTATTTAAACCTTGGTGGGGGACTAGCAGTTGGCATAATGGCTGCGTTGCTGGACCCCCACATAGTCAACCGCGGTTCGAGTCCCAGATCCGATGGCTTAGACACACAGGGTGCATGTGCGTGCATGCCCAAGATCCTGAGAGGAGAATGGAGAAGGGATTGTGGTGTGGCCATTGCCGCCGTGGGGGGTGATTTTCTTTCTGTCTGTCTCTCTCTGGCAAGCACACATGCCCTATAGCAAAAACCTCTCCCCCCAAAATAAATAAATAAATAAAACTTGACATCTTTGGGCAAGCAAGTGGTGTGGAGGGTAAGGTGGCTGGATCCCACATGGTCAGCTGCAGTGTGAGTCCCAGACCCAGCAGCTTGAAAATCACGCTGGGTTCATGTCTGTGTGCGCCCAAAATCCTTAAAAGGAATTTGCGGAGTGGCCACCCTGGGTGGGTGACCCCTTACGTTCTCTCTGGCAAGATACAGGCTCTACAGTAGACACTAAAGAGAAAAGAATCATTGAAAACTAACTAGATAAAACAAAACCGGACTCTTCACATTCTCAAGGCTCCAGAGTCGCCAGATCAGGGTCAAAGCCAGCTGTCTGACTCAGCACTCTGGAGGGCGCTGCTGACCTCTCGCCGCGGTCTAAGTCTCCAGCCTCCTTGGCCTCCCGCCCTAGTCAACTGGCATGTTGGCGAGCACCTATATCCCCTGCTACCTGGGCATGCAATGACGGGCAAGGCGCTTGCAGCGGAGAGCTGGGTCTGAGTGCAGGTGGGCGCCAGTGACGAGCGCCTGACAGAGGCCGTGCACTGTCACCGGAACTTCGGATGGTGCTCACCGCCGGTGGCCTCTGCAGAGACGGTCCGCCAGCGCGCGAGGGCACAGGGGGCTCTCCGAGCTGACCGGCTGTCTGGGAGGTGAGCGAACGTGCCGGCCTCCCGTACGCGACCAGGGGTGCCCCAAAGCTCTAGCAGAGGTTGCACCCCAGGAGGGCAGTGGCCCTCTGCCTCGGAAGGGCGGGCTGCCCAGCAGGGCCCACGCGCCTTTCGGGAAGAGGGGCCCGCGCCCGGCCAGGAGCGGCCACCCCCAGCGCCACTCGCGCGGCGGGCGGGCACGTGGCGGGAAGGGCGCTAGGGCGAGGAGCCGG